AAGAGTAACATTGTCAATTGACTTTAAATGCAAAGAGTTGACTATCACAGTTCAAAATAGAATGATCAAAGTAAAATTTTAACAACAGTACACTAGGTCGTTTTGGGAATTGATATATTTTTTTTAAATAATTTCATTTTTTATATTTAAAATTGTGTAAAAAAATAAAGAGAAAAATTGACTCTTTTTTGTGCCTTTTTAGCTAAAATGGTGAGTTCTCAAAATAGGCCTAAAAACCTAGAAAAAGTACCCAAAAAATTATCCAGAAAAGTGCATCCAGTGGCGACCCTACCGTAAGGCAAGTGAAGCGCTTGCCTTAAGCCGCAATTGTTCAAAAGGCCTTATATTCTTATAAGTTTGCACACTAAGGCCCTTTTTAGCAAGAGGTTAAAAAAAAAATTAGTTTTTAACCTCTTATGAATCACATTACCTCTCTACTTTTTTACACGTTTTTTCAAAAAAAGTCAAAAACAAAATCAAAAAAAATAAAAAAATAAAAAAAACTTTTAACCTACTTCTAAAGCAACCCTAAATTGTTCTATGAAAAGGCCATGTTTATTTTTTTTTTACCACATGAAATTGTTTAGGTAAAAGGTCATGTTTATTTTTATTTTATTCTTTCTCCGTATAAGAAGATGTTAATAGATTAGTAAAGTTAGATTTAATATATATAGAACGATATTATTCACCTTCAGTATTTTTTTAATGATGACTTTCAAATAAAGAATCAATCACAAGAATTCATATAAACGATGATATAAAATGGTGGCAAAAAATGGGTAATATATGACATTTTCTTTCATATTTTGAAGTTTATTGATTCACTATTGTTTAATTGATTTGTAGTGTGAAGTTGCAAGTTCAACTTCTATGAGAAAGAGTTGAAAGATATTCTTCAAGCTTTAAGTTCTTTTGTTTCAAAACCCTAGCCTGTCTTTTCATTTTCTCTGAAATATTTTTGAATCCTAAAAATAGCCTTTTTTTTATCTTTTTATTCATAGCAGAATAGACTAAAATTTTCTCGCACGCAACCTTAGGTGAGCTGCTCGAGAGGTGGTGGACCGCACATGTGGTGAGGTAGCAGGCTAGGTATTTTCACTACTCACACGGAGAATCTGCTTTTACGCCACTTTTTGCTTGAATTTGCATGTTGCCTACCAAATCTGTACTAGTGCACAAAACACACCATCTCCACCAAATAAACAAAATTCAAAGACTATAAATGTAACTTAAGCGGCCTCAATGTAGTACATTTCGGCCTACATCAATATGCTTGTATTTCTTATAACAATTTGTTTTAATTGCTTGTATTTTGGTGCAATTTTTAATTGCTTGTAAAGTTTTGGAATTTGGTCTGTTTTAACCTAGTTCATCCCCTAGAAACTTAATTCTAAAAATTGTTTCCTATGGATTAGGAGTCAACATACTCTTGAAAGTTTTGTTTAAGATCAACTAGGTTTTAAGTGGGACCGATGTGACCCCTCTAATCTTCTTGAAAACTTTCCTGACCATGTTCAATTTTAAGTTAAGTGGTGAGACTAGTTTTGAATTGAATTTCCAACTTTGGAATTTTCTAGTGTTAAGTTTAATTTTTGAAAATATAGAATAGTGAAATTTTGTTGTATTTTTCAAAAATGGCAACTGTCACTAATGTTGCTGCTGCTACTGCTAATGTTGGTGGGGATAAAAACCCAGGGCAACTAGCTTGCCAACCCCTGCTGTGACCTTTGTGATCAACCATGTTGTTGTGACCTTTGTAATCAATCATGTTGCTGCTCTTGCTGTTCTGGAAGAACCGCTCAACCATCGTGAGTGCCTGGAGAAGTTCACGGGAGTGAATTTCAAGAGTTGGCAACATAAGAGGCTATTCTATCTGACTACTCTAAGCTTTGCGAGGTTTTTAAGTGAGGATCCACTAGTCGTGGAAGAGAATAAGCAAGACAAGCAGAAGCTCATGGCTCTAGATGCTTGGAAACGGTCAGACTTCCTTTGCCAGAATTATATTCTGAATGGCTTGGCAGACCAACTATTCAATGTGTTTTATGCCAAAAAGTAGGCAAAGGAGCTGTGGGATGCTTTGGACAAGAAGTACAAGATCGAGGATGCTGGGAAAAGAAATTTATAGTTGGTCGGTTTCTAAACTTCAAAATGGTGGACTCAAAAACCGTCATTAGTCAAGTCTAAGATTTCGAAGTGATTCTACACAAGATTCATGCAGAGGAAATGTTTCTGAGTGAATCATTCCAGGAAACCACTTTTATTGAGAAGCTGCCTAACAGTTGGAAAGACTTCAAGAACTACTTGAAGCACAAACGAAAGAAGATGACAGTGGAAGAGCTCATTGTCAGGCTCCATATTGAGAAAAACAACAAGAAGAAAGTGGGGAGTATCTCCTATGTAAAAGCAAACGTGGTTGAGCATGGCCAGTCCTCGGGAGTGAAGAAGAAGCCACCGACAGGCCAACTAATGTGGTTGAGCATGGCCAGCTAAGCCTACGAATTTGGAGCGCTCTTCATGCTCAGCGCAAAGCGCCATTATCTAAGCCTCCAAATTCAGAGCACTCTTTTTACACAACACGAAGTGTCCTCAAAAAAGCCTCCGACTTTTGAGTATCATGTAAAACATTATCTACCAGCAGGATATGGAGACATAAAACAATTGGCAAAGTAAAACAAATGAAATGAACACTTTTATTGATAAAAGTTATGACACTAATCTTACATTTCAAGAACATTTTTTTATCCTAAGGTCGATTAGCATCCTAATTACATTAAAACAATCAAACTATTTACTACATCGACTAGCTCTACTTAGGGTTCGCGGCCTCTTCTTCTTCATCATTCATTTTTTCGGCATCATAGGCTTCAAATGGCACCGTATAGCTCTAATATAGTGGCAAGGCAAAGTCTACACCCGCCGTTTGCAGAGCCTTTATCCACCCGTGTTTGAATCCCTGATTTTCGTATCAGCAGATGTCGTCGACCAATTGTTCCCTTGTTCTATCGATACCAATCTTCCTCCCTTCAAAGAAGCCCTTGTTGTAAACTCGGCTCTCGATTGACTCCCTAAGAAAGATGCTAGTTGTATCTCGATCGATTATTACTCTGTCCATACGGCATTGGACTACTTTGTTTGTGGACTCCGTCAACCCTACCAACTTGAGTTTAGCCATCTTCGCCTTCTGAGCCTCATTCTTGGCCCGCTTTTTAGCCTCTCTCAGTCGGCGCTCCAGGTTTCGAATTCGGCCGTCTTCATGTTCAATTTCTTTTGGAGCGACACGAAGGTGCATACCGACTTCATATGCGTTGTACAATCCTTTGACAGCACCATAGATTCCTTCCCTGAAAACCTCGTAGTCTCCTCTGTTGGTCATCGATTGTTACACTTCAAGGGAAAAGATCTGCCGAGTGAACTTAACCGCCACATTTAGATCTTGGATAATTGAGTCGGCTTCAGTCATGGCTTTGTTCCCAATAAAAATGGAAAAACTCAACGGATGTAGCGGTCTACTCGGCTTATTTCGCACTAAGCCATGGGCACCAGCTGTTCTGCTATCCTTTCTCCTTTGGGTACCACCTCTGGAAGACCTGTTTCATTCATTCCTCCTAGGCGATCTACTGGGTCGCTTGAGTGATCAATGCCTATTCAGCTCCTCCGATTCACCAGTGTTTCTGCACACAAAATCTTTTGGTGCTTGATGACTCATCTCTGCATCCAACTCCACCAATGTCTTCCCCTCCTCTCCCCTCTACAGTTGAAAAATAATCTACTTGACATACACACACTATTGAGCTTCGTTGGAGGTGAGTCTCCCCGCTATGTTTTGTTTTTCACCAATTAAGGTACCTCTTCCTACCGACGAGCACATGAAGTAAGCTTTCCTGGTTGGAAGAACAAACTGTCACTTCGAAATAGACATCCTTCTCCAACAAGTATACTAATTATATGAGGATGTGCTTTCAATAAACAGCTTTAAATAACCCACAAAGGCGCCACTCTCCATACTACTTAAACAAACCCACATGTCCGTTGTCCCTTCAATCATCAGGGAATGCGCTGCCGACCACTTTCCACTCGTTCAGCGCACACATTAAGATATAATGTAAATCTATTTGGCTCAAACATTGCCCCGCTTGTAACTCGGCAGGACGCCTTGCACCGATTTCACATGTCTTCATTCCTAACCAGGGCAGGGGCAGATATATGAATCCATTCGACATAAATGTTACCCCGCTGGTAACTTGGCGGGATACTTTTTTTTTTTTTTACCTGCCTTCGTTCCCAACCGGGGCAGAGGCAGATATATGAATCTATTCGGCGTAAACGTTACCCCACTCGTAACTCGATAGGACACCTTGTGCCCACTTCATCTGCCTTCATTCCCAACCGGAGCAGATGCAGATATATGAATCTATTCGGCGCGAAATATACCTCACCTTTTGGAAGTATGACTATGGTGCACATATTCAGCGCACAAATCTCATGCACAATTATATGGTTGAAGTTAGTTTACAGTCGTATTATTAGGCAGTGCTCAATAGTTGGCTGATTAAATGTGCACACAAAATAACATTTATTCCGATTAAGCGAAATCAATTTAGCAACAATTGAAGTACAATGGCATAAAAAGCAATTATGATGCACAATAGAATGTTTTCATTTATAAACTAACTTAATACATACGTTAGTCACTTTACACATGAAAACGTCCCTAATATATCAATTCTAAAAACAACAAAACAAAATAAAACAAACAAAAAGACTATTACAACCAAAACCTAGTCTAAAAGGTGTTCGGTGTCGAATATACTACTGATCCGACTATAACGGCTCGACACTTCATGCTCGAATGGAATCTGCACGTCCAACGTCACCTGGGCGGCGGCCAGTGCCTTGAGCCAACCATGTTTGAAGCCCCGATTCTTAAACTTCGGGGCCTTGTTGGCATACTTCTCCATGGCTGACAATTCTCTATCTCCAAATGCTTTGGTCCCCACCAACTACGCCTCCTTTGTTGCCATCTTCACCGCCAGAAGCTTGGATCCGAGCTTTTCCAGATTAGCCTTCGCTTCTTTCAAAGCGGCATCTAAAAGATTGGTTATTTCTTCGGCGATGTGGTGAAACAAGTCGACATGGTTTATCTTTTCCTTTTCAGCATCGGCCCTCAGGCGCTCTTCATCGGCCTTTTTCGCTTCACCCTCGACTTTTTGCGTTGCTATGGCCAATTCGACAACTGCCGACTTTGCTTTACTTTGCTCGGCTGACACTTCACATTTTAGCTGGTTAATCATCTCGATGACGTCATAATAGCGACAACCAATCTCCGCGATCTGCTCGGCTGCCTGCAAAATAGAATGCTTATATTAAGAACAAATAAACAAATAATTTGGCTTGTAGATTTGTTGAATTCAAACTCGCCAAAATAGCCGATTATGCAGCCATAGCAATTGAAATAACATCTGGCTTGACGCAAAACGTTGCCTTGTCCAAAGGTAGCACGATAGCTGTTACGACCTAAACTCGCCCCTATAGGTTTAGCGTCCTAAGCGGCTAGTAATCCTAAGATTACCAAAGGCCATTGAGACAGATTAGCAAAATAAGGAACTAGCGGAAGCAAATAGCAAAACACAATGTTCATAGAGCTATGCAGATTTATATGGGACAGAAAATTTAAACCTGATATTTACATAACAAATGACGTCATTTAAGTGTCACCACAAATATAGATAAACAAAAAGGGATTTACCCCTAATGCAGACATTTAAGTGTCACCACAAATATAGATAAACAAAAAGGGATTTACCCCTAATGCAGACATTTAAGTGTCACCACAAATATAGATAAACAAAAAGGGATTTACCCCTAATGCAGACATTTAAGTGTCACCACAAATATAAATAATGAGTTGGAGCCCAGTGAATAACAATAGAGTAAAGGTTTTGATGAATGATGTCCATAACAAAATTCAGAAAAAAAAAATAGATTCATATTGATATTTAGATTTGTAAACAATCATACGTGATACATCCATTAGCTAACAGATCAAATTGGTCATAAAGACCCATATTCACATGAGATGGTCATTTAGACCCACGTGCAGATCAGACAGTTGATTATGCATAATCAGTTCCATGACATGTAATAGATAACAGATATCAAATATAGATGTTAAGGATGCCACAAATAAATTTCAAAAATTAGACAATTATTCATTCTAATTCGAAAATAACATTTCAGAAACAGAGTTCAACGTATAATCAGAAAATACATATAAGCAAACATATCTTTACAAAGTTATTACTCACAGATAGCTCCAAAGACAAATCAGACGAACAGTTGCGCGTGACCTACATAGACACAGAACGAATACTCATTGAAACACACGTTTCATATATACTTACCTTATTACATTTCTTTTCGTAGTGTGTTTCTAATTCATATCCTCATTATTATGGCCTAAACCATGGCTTAAGAATGCCTAGGGTAGGATGAGGATGCAATTATGCACTTGAAGCACTTGTTCCTTTCACAAGCTTCATTCCATTCGTACTTTACTCCTTTCTACATCGATTGTGTCATTGGCTTGGCTAGTTTAGAGAAATCTTGAATGAACCTTTGATAATACCCACTCAGTCCTAGGAAACTACAAATTCTGTTACAATCTTTGGTTGTTTCCAATCCAAGACTACTTCTACCTTGGTTGAATCTACCGCAACCCCTTTCTCAGATACTACGTGTTCTAAAAATTTTACTTCTTGTAACCGGAACTCACATTTACTTGCCTTGGCATACAATTGGTTATCTTTAAGGACTTGAAAAATAATCCTCAAATGTTGTTCATGCTCCTCCTCGAACCTTGAATTTATTAAACTATCGTCAATGAACACTACTACAAACTGGTTGAGGTATGGTGTAAAGATCTTGTTCGTTAGACTCATGAATACTGTTGGTGCATTGGTTAGTTCGAAGAGCATTACTACAAACTCGTAGTGACCGTACTTAGTCTGAAATGCAGTCTTCAGTATATCCTTGTCCTTGACTTGTAGTTAATGGTAACCTGACCTGAGATTAATTTTTGAATAAAACTATGAACATCTAAGTTGATCAAAAGGGTCGTCAATTCTTGGAAGCGCATACCAGTTCTTGATCGTGACTCGATTAGGTTGACGATAATCGATGCATAACCTTAACATCGCATCCTTCTTCTTGGCAAATAGAACAGGTCCTCTCCACGGCGAGGTACTCGGTCTAATAAATCCTTTTTCAAGCAATTCTTGTAGTTTGTCTTTAATTCCCATAGTTCCACAGCTGCCATATGATAAGGGGCCATTGATATTGGTGTGAGACCCCTAACTTTAGTAAACCCTATTGTAGCACGCACCCGCGAGGGACCCTCGCTACAGTTCGGACTCGATTTTGTTTGTGGTTCTAAATCTGAACCAAATAGTCCAAATCTGGCAAATCATTTTAAGAAACAGATTTTTGAAAAGAAGTGCCAAACATGGACTGCTTTGCCAGATACAGAGTCGCCACCTAAATATTTTAAAATGGGAAATTTAGGAAACCCTGACTCGGTGCCAAAGGCCACGTGTCCGTCATCACCAAAGTTGCCTTGGCTCGGGAGTTTGGGTACGATTGGGGAAGGTCAGCTATGAGCAACCCCTCTTGCCCGATCCGAAGATCTGCCTCTACTAACCGTGATATCCGTTTTTGAAAACGTTATGTGTTCTTAAACCAATTGTAGCCTAGAATTACTATGTTATGCGCACAGCAAACAAGTATAGACTAGATTGCCTAATTTGGAAATAAGCATTGCATATCCGTTTGTATTAGAAAAATGTTTTGGAATTTGCTACTCGCAAGTAGGCTAAAACACGGATTTCAACGAGTGTTTCCAACTCAGACAATCCAACCTTCACCCACAAGCATTCAAACAGTTTATCACCTAAGCAACTAGCCACATGGTAAGCATACTGTCATAATAGCATTCACACGCATGCGGTATGCTAAAGCATGAAAATACTTACGTCGTACTCCGAGCCAAAACAAGAAACTAGTTAGTAATCATGTGTGATCCTAGTTCATGTCAAATTGACTAATGCAACACATGCAGGATGCAATTAGAATAGGCTCAGCTAACCTAAGCATGGCATGTGAAAATGCACAAGTAGCATGTATTCAAGTTAGATTTGAGATACTAATGCAGTTAGCATGATGTGCCGAGCCCGGTGCATGCAAGGCAAATGCATGAATGCACGCATGCATAGCATAAGGTATGCTGATTTTAAATATACCCTAGTCTACCATCATAAGCAGGTAAATAAAAGGGGAGAAAGACGTGGGGTTGGAAGACATACACACACTCACGCACACTTATTACATAATTGCCCTCACTCGGAGGGTCCAAATAAATATTACAGTCCGAATAATAAACGCATTAATTATTACAGAATTTCTAGTTAATTAACAGAATGAATGCAAAAAGAAAGGTGGCCACAACCTCTGCCTCGGGATGCGCGAATGATGCATGCTCGAACCCGTCTCGCCCGGAAAGTCCGTACCATACCACTGTCGCCCCTGTTTTCACTGCCTTGCTTCTGTGAAAAATTCTAAAGTTCTGGGACAGGTTCCTTGCACACTGTAGAATATCATCGGCTGAAGGAAATGCCCACCGGCCATATGTAATTTCCATCGGCTGCTGATGGAGTTATCGGCCATTCACCAATGGCCGGTCGGCATTGGACACTGCCAGTCGGTAGAAACTTCCTGCAGAAGACAGTTTTGACAGCAACAGAGGACAGACAGTATATGGCATGGGATTTCAGGCACATGTGAGCATGGTCATGTTTCCCATCATGCTTTGAACTCAGGGAAGCATGGCCCTCAATCCTCGAGCCATCAATTGTGCATGATAGCCTAAGTGATCAAGCTTGCCATTTGATGTAAAAATGCATGCAACACACAAATGAGAACCAAGACCCTATCATGTCTAAGTCAAGGGCCCCGGTGACCGAGAGTTAAGACGCGTTACATCACTTATAGTATGAACGCTCCTTAACCCTCACACTTGGTTTGACACCCCAAACCAAGTAATGCAATGCATGTTATGCAAACATGACTCAAAGATGCAATATGAGATCAAGATGCAAGTCATGCCAAATACCATGCAACCATCATGTCAAGTATGCAATGCTAGGCATGCAAGATGCAAATGCAATGCAAAGATGGACAATTTAAGTAATAGGACCATCATGTCACAACACCTAATGAAGCAATCATGCAACAAACATGAAACAAGCATGCAATAGTGGACTTAAACCATAAAGGGGCAGACCTCAATCCACCCCAAAACAGTGGCCAAAAGTGTCCAAAATGGTGGATAAACACTTATGCCAACATGCAAGCCAATGGACCTAAAGCTAAGGCACAAAAAGGAGACACTTTACTTCCACTAACACGACCATGCATGGCATGAATTAGGCAAGTAAAAACAGAATCTTAGCATGCAAAAATGGACTCCAAAACCCACTGATATGGCAGCTTAAGTGGCTCCAATGAGATGCATACACCAAAACTCATTTCTAGGCATAAAAGGGCACACCCTCAAAGCATGAAAGAGGTCACATATGCAGGCATACAAACATGATTTATAGGCTGAAATATGATCCTAAATGATGCCAAATCATGAGGATGGTCTAAGCTACGCATGCTAGAGGCCAATATACTCAAGCCTTACAAGCCAAAACACAAAGAGATGACACCAAACATGGCAAGCATGACTGAAACAGGTGGCCAACAGGCCTTAAACATGGTAGAATAATGCCAATACCTTCATGAAATTAGGCTAATACATGCAAGAATCATGACCTAAACACAAGATGCATTTCTAGGCCAAATAGAGGAATGTAAAGCAAGTATGTTAAGCATGCAAAATGGCACAAATATGACCAAAAACAGAGATGACATACGACCTAGAGACACCCAAAAACCTCTGAAATAAGGCCAAAAATGATCAAGCATGCATGTTCCCCCTTTAAGCCAAACAAGGGTAAAAGAAAGACAAAGGGGAGAGGGGTGTCCCTCCCTTATACAAGACTTCAAACCACCTTCCTCACCACTGAAAATCCACTGGTTTTCAGTGGTGAGAGGACTAAGACACTCAAGCAAACTAAGCCTCACAAAGGAAGCACCAAAAAGGCCAAATAAGGCCTAAGAGGGTGAGTTTGAACTCAAACCACAAAACACCCTTAATGAAAGTTCTTAAGCATGAAAATATAAGATTTTTTTATGCTATGCACAAAGCCTAAATCAGCAAGCAAGACAGGCAAAAAACTAGTGCAAGTTTGGGGATACTAAAGCAAAGTGATTACCCTTGAAGAACACCTCAAGAACAGCCAATGCAGCCCTCCTCTTTTGATCAAAATCAGTCCAAAAACTCAAGAATCAACCCTCAAAGCCTCTCAATCTCGGAGCAAGGTGTAATGGTGTGTGTATTAGTGCAAAAGTAAGGTAAAAATGCACTTTTGGGCTACCAAACACACACTAAGGGATGAGAGAGGGGGAAATATAGATAGAGATGATATATCTAGCAGATATATGTATATAAGCTCTGGTTTTTAGGTTTAAAACTCCCCACCTTTAACAATGGAGGAGGAGGGCTCTATATATAGACTAAGCAAATGGTTCTTGGCTTCTCCAAGAAGCCAAGTGAAAGGGGCAAAGGGTGCAAAGGAGTCTAGGCTTCTTGGAGAAGCTAAAACAGCTGGAAAAGCTTCTCCAAGAAGCTTAGCCAAGGGTTCATCCTTCTAGAAGGAACCAAGGGGTTCAAAGGCTCATACCAGCCAAAACTGCGCGGGGAGGAGTGATGGTGCATTCCAGCTGGCACAGCTGGCATACACCATGCCTCAAGGGTGCAAAGGAGTCACACCGGCCAGCAAAAGATTACATCGGCAAAGTAAAGTGCCGATCGGCAGTATACTATGCCGATCGGTCACTTATTTTAAGAAACCAAGGCCGGTGGCACCCCTAAACAGCCGGTGATGCTAGGGGAAGGCCGGTGGAATGTGGGGATGGCCAACAAGTCATTCCCCGCCTTTTGAGGCAAAAACACAAGTGTTTGGTGCCAAAACCAAACATGGAACAGTCGAGTTCGGAGATCCTGAGGCAAGGCGCGCAGTCGAGACCTCGGGGAGCTCCAAACGAACACAAACATGGATAATCACCGAGTGTTCAAACGGTGACGTCCAAGTCTTGAGGACGGTCAAAAATGGGGTGTCTGCAGTTACCCCTCTTTGACAGAACTTGAAAGTCATAACAATGACGGGAGTGAATGTCAAAGCCCAGAGACGACCCATTTTTGACAAGGCCGAAGACTCAGACAAACATGCAAAGCAAACAAGGTATGCGCCCAAAGGCAGGGGCAAGATGCAAGATAATGCACAGAGCCGGACATAACTTATGACCATGCAAAGAAAGCTGTAACGAAGCATACATGTGACAGTTTTAAGCTAGCATACACCAAACTACACTACAATGCAGAAAGGATGTAAGAGAATTAAGCAATTCTCGATACGTCTCACTCGGAGGATATAAATACCTGTGCGGCTCGTCTGGTTGCACCCACCTCAAATGAACCGTACATACAATATCGTGTCTGCAAAGAAAACAAACTTAACAGGTACGATATCGTTAGCAACATGCATAATAGTGTGCTCGAAACGCGTGACAACGCAAAGCGAATGGGAAACATAACAATGCTGTGAAGGCACAGATATATAAGTGGAGCACGCGGTCTACGCGGGCAACGAAATTGATTACCAGGATGCAGTCTACACAAGCAATGAAATTGATCGATCATGCGGTCTACGCAAGCAAAACATGCGGTCTACGCAAGTAATGAAATTGAATGCCAACATGCAGTCTACGCAAGTAAAACATGCGGTCTACGCAAGTAATGAAATTGAACAATCATGCGGTCAATGCAAGTAACGAAATTGAATAAACATGCGGTCTATGCAAGCGAAACATGCGGTCAACGCAAGTAATGAATCTGAATCATAAGAATGCGATCCACGCAAGCAGAACAGGCGGTCTACGCAAGTAATGAAATTAATTACAAACATGCGGTCTACGCAAGTAATGAAATTAACATGCGGTCTACGCAAGTAATGAAATTAATTACAAACATGCGGTCTACGCAAGTAACGTAATTAACATGCGGTCTACGCAAGCAAAACATGCGGTCTACGCAGGTAATGAAATTAACAATCATGCGGTCTACGCAAGCAAAAATGCGGTC